CCCCAAAACCCCAAAACCCCAAAACCCCAAAACCCCGAGGTATGAGTCAAATGCTGAATTAATATATAGATATCAAAGATTTAGCAATATGCCAAGCTAGGAATGGCAGATCATATGGGGGATAATTATAGGTACGTGGTTGTCACAGTTGCTCATCGAAAGAGATCACTTGATGTACACAAAGGATTTGTACTGGGATAGCTCTACAGATTGAGCTAGGACCTACCTTCTTCGGATATCTGTGACCACCTAAAGATTACTAAAAGTCTTACAAGCACTGTGGGTATTGCTTCAGAAGTAGAAGACTTACACCTGGAGAAGCACTATGCAAGCAAAGGTTTATATTATACTCTAGATTTCTAGTATTTCAGTAAACATTATGTTGCTAAAAGTAGCAAAGATAAGCTTATGTTTTGTAATAGAGCAAGACAGATTTCTGGAGGATTACAAACATTGCTTTTTAGGTTCCAGATTTTAAAATGTAAAATCTAATTTATTTGTGCGAAGCATAATTAACTGAAATTTTGTCTTAATTTTTAATTCTTTAACTGTTGTTGCTAAACATCTCTTAAATAACTTACTTTTCTCATTTGCAGATCTGTTTAGCTTCATCAATTTTCTTTTCCTAAACTTCTTTGAAACTCCGCTTACCAGATTTTTTCTGCTAATTTTCATTCTGTTTTCTAAATGATTTACAAATCTGCTTACTCAGTATAAACACTGCTAAGACATTCTTTAATAAACTCGATTGAGCAAGGCCTAGAAAAGCAGCCATAACTACGCTGACTGGGTCTTTGACTATTATCTGTCCGTTCCCAATTCTTTCAAATTCGACCTCTGGGATTCCGGGTTGCTAGAGATCAAAGAGGCGAATACAGATTTTATTACACTTGTGTTTATTCATTTGTTATCTATAGGAAAATCCAGGTATGGCTTGAGAGACTAAACAAATGTTATGACTCGTTTTAATGAATTATGAGATCGATTACCTTGAGTATTGGATGATGTTTATCTGTGTACGCTAATTCTACAAGCTTGAAATATCCTGATAATAAATATATCTATAGAGCAGAGAATAATGTAACCTCAAAACTGTAAGGAGTAATCCATTATTTGCATGCTAGCTTTATTAGGCTACATCGAAATTTATGTTGTGGGCAATTGGAATTTGAATGCATTCATACCTCTGCCAAAGGGGTTTTGGGGTTTTGGGGTTTTGGGG